AAATCCCCACAGCCTAACAAGCTTTGAGCTCAGGGACAGGCCGATCCAGACCCTGATCTTGACTCTTTCTCAGTCAGCTGGGCCTCTTTCTACTACTGGAGAGGAAACACAGATCAGAGAGACAGTTTCCAAGATGAATCATTCTGGAAAAACGTTACTTGTGAAAGAAAGAAACTCACCAGTTATGAAAGTATGAAAGGCCTTACCAAAAAGGAGAATGTGTCTTAAAATATTAATCCCAAAACAGCACATAATTAGAAAGTGCCAGTCCCCCTTTCATCAGCGTGCCCCCTGTGGCCCTCTCCCTTTCCCCAGCTCTCCCTCCAGGTGGCCGTGCCACAGTTCAGATCAGGCTTCGCACGTGACGCTTCTTACAACACCGCGGCTCAGCCTGCTTTGTAGGAGGCCACAGCCGATTTGTGTGATCCAAACAATGGCCTTAGTTCTCGTGTCACCCCCCCTCCGCCCTCACTCCCTCTGCCTGGAAAAGTGCATGTGATCAACCTCTGTGTGTAACAGCTTAAAGAATCCACATATGCAAGGTTTCTGAAATCCAGCATGCCAAATTTTGTTTTGATAGATGCTTAGAGAATAAAGGCTTTCTTTGGCTCTAATGGTGACTCAGTCGCCTGCAGAAAAGTATCCATCAGGTGATAATATTGCTTCTGTGTAGGTTTTTGCCTCAAAAACAATGCTTGCACTGCAATTGTGATGAAACCTCAAGCGGTTTGCATCTGTTTGTACATCTTCAGACATTTGTGTTGAGTCAGACAGACCTATGGAAGAAGTGAAATCTGTCCTGGTATCTGCTGACGTCTCTATGACGTCTGTAGCAGAGAAGTGAAGGCTTGGAACGATCTTAGGAGTTCTCCATAGGAAAAGAATAGTCAAATCTCCAGCCTCAGTTTTCACCCACTGGCACTGTTACAAGGATAGCCTGTATAGGTCCTTGATGGGCACACCAGGAGAATTTTCCTTTCCTTGGGTGCCCTAATTGAGCTACAGAACAGTTGTTGAGAATAGTTGAAGCTGTACCAGCCAGCGTTTGTGGATCTTTCACCGAACTATTCAACAAGCTGGGTAGAGAAATAGAGCAAATATAAACTTCTCAAAGAAAAAAAAAACTTTGGGCCTTCTAACCTGGCTCACTCACAGTAGAGGAATGTTGAATAAAAAAGACCCAGTTTAATTCAAATTAGCAATGCCTTTTCCACTGCAGCCCCGCTGGCCGCTGCCAGCTCGCACAAGAATGAAGCCTTGTGGGGCTCTGTCCACTTCCTGTGGATGAGGTGTTCCACTTGGTCTTCTCTGTCTTCTCTCTGCCTCTCTCACTTTCTCCTGCTTTGTTTCTTACTGCAGTCATTTTCCACATGTTGCCCTCTGACTTATACACTTATTGTAAATGGGTCAACAGATGTTGGAGAAAAAATGATGGGAGGAGATAAAGACGGAAAGAGTGTGGGGAGGCGGAGGAGGTGGAGGAGGAGGAGGAGGAGGAGGAGGAGGAAGCACAGCCAGCAGTGTGACTTTCCACAGATGAACCTTTCAAATAAAGTTCATGCATTAAAAAAGAAAAAAAGAAAAGAAGGAAGTTCATCCATCTTACTTATTACATATTTGTGTGTACTTTCAGTAAGAATAGACAGCAAGTAGACAAATGATCTACTGTTGTGAATCATATCATCATTTTTTAAAGCAGTTCTACTGTATTCTTTTAATGAATGTAGATGAATAGCTCAACATTTTTATGAAATTAGCTTGTTTCTATTTGCTAAATATGAAAGTAGAGAGAGCAGAAAATAAGCTTAGCTTCCCCAGAGGGAAACACTCTCACCCAAGGTTCAGAATTGTGCCTACCAACACTTCAAAATCTCACTAATTAACATGCTTTATGTTGTTTCTTTCCTTTTGCCATTTAGACCACTGGCCGACTGCAGGTACTTCCTCGAGCCTTGCTGTCATTGCTAAGTTGCCAGGCAACTGTTACCAAGAAATAGTTACAGCATGTAACTCCGCATAAAACCAGAAATTATTGTTCTTACTTCTGCATTCTTCTCTAAGCATATGGTTTGACTACAATATATCTATTATGCTTAATACCTTTTTAAACACATAAATGTCGTCAAAACAGCTACTGTATACAGTTATCATTGTTAGTTATTGTTTTTTGTTAGTGACAAAATCCAGTCACTGCTTCTGATATATTGTCCATCAGTCCTGTCACAGCCCATACTGTAGACTTGGACAGTGGTGGCAGCAGTTTGGAGTTACAGGACGGAGTTGTGGCCAGCACATAGTTGGAGGGAAGGACAGAAGTTGTGCTGAGTCATTTTGTGGTCAAAAGACAGACCAGAATCACAAATGTCAAATGTCATCCAAGAAAAAGAGTTCAGTAATAAGGTCATTGAGGAGAAAAGCTCCTGCTTCTTGTCCA